CTCTCCGTGCCCCCGGTTTCCTGCCCGGGCCCGGCTCCTGGGGGGTGGCTCTGCGTGTGCTGCTCCCCGGAAGGATTTTCCTTTATCTCCCACGGACATCACCCAGGCAGTTTTCTTTAGGAGCCCCTCTGGTCACGCCTGTGTCCCTTGTGCCGCCCACGTTAAAGTCTTCAGGGAGCTCCCTGTTCCTCCCAGGGCGGAGGTACACTGGATCTCAGAAACCTGGGAACTTGCTCGGCTGTGTTGTTCCAGGTCTGTGACGAGCCAGAGGAGTTAAAGAGGAAGGTCACTGAGCTGGCAGCCGCCGTCCGGAGCGCCAGGCACCTCGTCATCTACACTGGAGCTGGGATCAGTACGGTAGGGTTCTCCAGGAACAAGTGGCTGGAGCCTGGGAGCTCCCTCGGGAGTGCTGCAGTGCTGACTGGACCTTTTTTGTGGTTTCCCGATGGCCTGGTGATGTGTGTTATGAGCCTGGGACGCTGTGTTAACGCTGCACGGCAAACCCTGCCCAGGCCATTGGGTGGTTTGCCGCCGGGGGCTGTGCCCGCTGCCCGGGAGATCCTGCGGCTGCATCACCTCTGATGGTGCGAAGAATGTGCTGCTTGAACGAGAGGATCGCTAGTCTCACTTCATTCAACTGCTTTTGGTGTAAAACCTAGAAACAAGTTAGCTAATTAACACTGTCTGTGTTAACGGACCAGCAGGCTTACCCCCAGCTAATGGGGGGTCATCAGAACTTATAAACGAGAGTTTAGGAAGTGGTTGGTTTCAGTGGCCTCTGTTGGGAGAATGGAAATCTGGTTCTGCCTTTTCTGATGTATCAAAAGTTATCCCTGAACTCTGAGGTGGGAACCTTATTTTTCTTTCCCTTTTCTGCAGTCTCGCTGATGCGGAGCATGATTCTGGGCAGGTGGTACTAGTGCTAACATCACCAGTATTTTTGCTAAAGAATGCTGAGTGCAAGGTACCGGGAGTCAGTCTAGTGAAAATAAGGAAAGGTTCAAGGACTGACTTCTGTGTAGG